GGGTGATCTGGTGAGGGAGGGGGTGATAGTGTGTGGGATATAGGGGCGATAGTGTGTGGGAGAGGGTAATACTGAGAGGGAGGTGATATACTGTGAGGGAGGTGGGTGATACTGTGAGGGAGCGGGGTCATGGTGTGTAGGAGGGGGGAATACTGTGCAGGGGCAGATCCAGAGCCTGATCTTGGGAGGGGCACTTGTAGATTATTTAAAGAAATAATCCAGGCACAATAACCACTACAGCTCAGTGTAGTAGTTATGGTGCTAGTAGTGCCAGGATCCCATCTCAGAGTAAGTAGTCAAACCGTTTAAGAACAGTTTGACAACTTACCTGGGGTCTGCTGGGATATAGGGTATAGGAGCAATGGTATGTGTTAGGGGTGAAGTGTGTGAAAGGTGCAGTGTGTGTGTGTGTGAGCGGTGAAATGTGTGTGCGAGTGCGTTAGGCGGCAGTTTATGTCAGGGTTCCAGTGTGTGTGTTAAGGGGCAGTGTATGTGTGGGGCAGTGTGTGAGCGGTGCAGTGTGTGTGTGAGAGTTGCAGAGTGTGTATGGGGGGAACTGTATGTGTGTTTGGAGGTGTGTGTATGGGGGGGCACTGTATGTGTGTGTGGGCAATGTGTGTATGTGTGGCAATGTGTGTATGGGGGGCAGTGTTTGTTGGGCAGTGTGTGTATGGGTGTGCAGTATGTGTATGGGGGCAGTGTGTGTATGGGATGCAGGGCAGTGTGTTTAGTGTGTGTATGGGGCAGTGTTTGTGGGGCAGTGTGTGTAGTGTGTGTATGGTGGGCAGTGTGTGTATGGGGTAGTGTGTGTAGTGTGTGTATGGGGGCAGTGTTTGTGGGGCAGTGTGTGTAGTGTGTGTATGGGGGCAGTGTTTGTGGGGCAGTGTGTGTATGGGGGCAATGTGTAATGGTGGCAGTGTTTGTGGGGCAGGGTGTGTATGGGGGCAGTGTTTGTGGGGCAGTGTGTATGGGGGCAATGTTTGTGGGGCAGTGTGTGTAGTGTGTGGAGTGTGTGTGTATGGGGGCAGTGTTTGTGGGGCAGTGTGTGTAGTGTGTGTATGGGGGCAGTATTTGTATGGGGGGGAGGTTAGGGAGGCTTTTTAATAATAATTGTAAAAAATGTATTTAATAAAATGACTATATTTATGTCCCCCCTCCCTTTTTACATTTACTGGGAGGAGGGGGGACATTTCTCCATCTCTGGTGGTCCGGAGGGGATTTCCTGGTGGTCCCAGTGGTGGTGAGGTGAACTCTAGCCCGCACTCCAGGGCTAGAGTTCATTCTCGCGAGATTTGGAGCGTTGCCGTGGTAGAGAGGCTGAGCTCCCGGGTCCTCTCTCCCTCTCTCCCCTGCCGGCTGCCAGCACAGTGCATGCGGACCGGGGAGGGATATCTCTTCCCGGTCTGAAGGCACATTGCAGGGCTGGCACTTGGAAAATGCCAGCCCTACATTAGCCGGCAGGGTGGAATCTCGGGGGGGATACTATGAGGGAGGGGGGTAATACTGTGAGGGAGGGGGTAATACTGTAAGTGGGGAAATACTGGGAGGGAGGGGGGATACTGGGAGGGAGGGGGTGATAGTGTGAGGGGGGAATACTGGGAGGGAGGGGGTTGATAGTGTGAGTGGGGAATACTGGTATGGACTTGGAAATACTGGGAAAGACTGGGGAATATTGGGAGGAAGGGGGATACTGGGAGAGAGGTGGGTGATAGTGTGAGTGAGGGTGTATACTGGGAGGGGGATAGTGAAGGGAGATATTGGGAGGGAGGCGGTCATGGTGTAAGGGAGGGGGGATACTGGGAGAGAGGGGGAGGTAGTGTGAAGGAGGGGGTTTACTAGGAGGGGGTGATAGGGAAGGTGGTTACTGGGAGGGAGTGGGGTGTAGTGAGGGGGGATGCTGGGAGGGAGGGGGTATATTGGGAGAGAGGAGTGCTACTGGGAAGGATGGGGTATACTTGAAGAGTGTTATATTGAGGGGGTTCTGGGAGGGGGTGATATTGAGGGGGTTACTGGGAGGGGTATATTGGAGGGGTTACTGGGAGGGGTATATTGGAGGGGTGATATTGAGGGGGTTACTGGGGGTATATTGGAGGGGGGTTACTGGGAGGG